GTACCACTGGCATATCCCAAACCACTTAGCAAAATAAAAGATGAATAAGTACACGCTTCTCCATAAACACACATATACATTTAGAAGTTTGTATAGCTATGTGTGTGTGCTTGCAATGTCGCTTCTACTTCGTGTTTCTTATAAAAGTAATCGCTACAAGTTTTTACGCTTGTCTGCTTTGACAGCAGAAAAATTCATTACTTTGAGTATATGCGATTTAAGATCGATGTTGGCAACTCCAGGTGGGTCGGTTGCCACGACTTTTTTGTTTGTTGTCTGTGTTTAGCAGATTTTTCTACTTTTAATTACTTTTCACTACTGCATGGAGCGTTAGTTCAAGGTTATCTACAAGCTTTCGCACAGAAATGATTTCATTTTTTGCCATAAATACTCATAAGATGCTTGAGTATAACATACATAGTTAATGGAGCTTTAATAATGAAAGCTCTTTAGCAGAGAAAATATAGGAAATGAAATACAGCTTTAATTATGAAAGTTCTGCAGAAAAGAAATTAGAGCAAATGAAATAGAGTTTTAATAATGAAGTTTTCATCACAGCATCAGCAAAGAATCATAGAAAATAGAAATTTCACAATGAAAGCTCTTTTGTTTTCAAAGGTTCGATCGCGAATGATTTAGAGCTTTAATTATGAAAGTTCTTGGGCAATGCGGACAAATGTATTCGTGCAAGTATAAAGCAATAAAAAATGTAAATTAAAACAAAATGACAAACATTTGGAATCAAGTGGAATTAAATTTCTCTTGAGAAAAAATTCTGTAAATTCGCACCAATTTGCTTGAAAGCTGGAAAGAAATAATCCAATTCAAAAAAATGCCAGGAATGTAGATTTGAACTCTGTTACAAAACGGAATAGTATAGAACTGAACTTGTCAAAGACGCCGGAAGTCTATCGACTATTATGAAACTCTTTCAGCGACTTCTATTTTATGTAGCAATATTGTCTTCACTCTCTTAGCCAAACAGAAAAAAGTCGCAGAGAGACAAATGTGTGAAAAAAATTCGTGAATGAAGGCTGTAGTTGAATTCGTTCTATTTTGAAACCACTACCCGAAATTTGACATTATTTTTATTTTAACAAAATTATTTCAGCGATAGTCTTTATTCCCAATGTATAAGCACGAGAGCGGTGAGCCAGCGTAAACGGTGATCAAGTCAGTATTGACGGTCAGGAAGGTTTTGGTATATGTTTGAGGGATCTAGTGAGTGATACTCTATACTTAGAGCTGCTCCCCTACTGCCAAACTCATCCGAACCAGTACTGTCAACAATTTGACTGTCTGAAGAAAGCAGGCGCCTACAAGCGTCCACCCTGGGACAATAGAAAAATGGAATTTTGTTCCCTAAAGACAACGCTAGGCCACACACATCGATAGTGAAATAATAGTAGCTCTGGGACTTTTGGTGGGAGGCTTTTATGCATCCATTTTATGGTCCGGACCTGGTACTTGTTCTTCGGTTCGGTGGGGTAAAATTTTACTGGTTAAAAATTGAATTGTCAATGAAAATCGAAAATGTAAAAATCTCAGTTGATATACTCGTACGACTCGTATTAGGCAAGCTCTAGCTATCCAACAACAAATCTTTTAAATCACATACCCTGAATTGGGTGTATTAAGTTTGATTTATAATACCCAGGAGGAAACATCAGAGACCCTAGGAAATATATATGTAAATGATCAGCGTGACGAGCTGAATCGATTTCGTCATATACGTCTGTCTTTACGTCCGTCCGTCTGTATATGTTATATGCGAACTAGTCCTTCAGCTTTTGAGATATCCATTGAAAACCTGTCCTTTTCTCACCAATAAGCTGCTCATTTGTCGAAACGGCTGATATCGTACCAGTAAGCATATAGCTGCCATAAAAACTGAACGATCAAGCGGATTCAGGGCATGGATTATTGTGCAAGGCAAAGGTATTACAAACTGACCGATTAAAATTAAGTTGTTGTATGGAAAGTTTTCTATTTGTGAAGGCCCTTTCCAAGGGCATAACTACACCGCGGAAAGTTCTGAAAACACCACTTCAATATTTGGCTCGACCAAAATGCTTAAGGATAAGAGTGTAAACCAGAAACCAAACAAGAGCCAAATGACAACAGCACTTGATATTGCGTAGCAGTAAAGCCGAAAAGATATAAATATGAATAAGGACGCAATGTGAGAACGAAGATACTCAAACCCTTTCATACAAGTCCAAATTGTATATCCAAAGTTATGAGTGGGTGTAAGCCATAAAGTATGCTGACTGCTAACGACTCAACAGAACACTAATGATGAACGCATGTGGAGATAATCTTCGATGTATGAGATAAATGATAAAAGCGCAAAATGAACAACAGATATTCGAGGAGAAGCATTGAAAGGAGTTGCAAATAATTTCAGCTGCAAATAGAACATGGGCAGAGATGTATATTTGTCAAATGGCGTTTTTTTTCTTTTCGCTACAACATCAAAGGTTGAAATAAATGGTTGGAAGGACCCCAGTTGCGTATGACAAGTAATGACATAATATCCAATTCAGACGATAGCAGTGCTGCCTTGCGGCTATTACTTGCCTCCAAAGCAAGGCAACAACGCTTTAGTCAACAATGTACAACGCCAACAGTCTGGTGCCATCGAGACGTAATGCTGAATGCTTGCATTTCCGAGTTAGAAGGAGATTAGGCAGGCGCCTCACTGTGAAATTATGGCTTTTCTAGCCCGCTGTGATAATAACGCGGAGTTGCTGCTGCTAGAGTCATTAACATCATACAATCAGAGGTACATAACATATATATACATGTTGTCTTTAAAGCCATCCTGCACCTATGCTTCCGCTTGCCATTTGTACAATTGGAATCCTATTACCCGAGCAGCCAACTCAAACTGCAGCATGCTGGGTCGCTAAGACGCTTTGTCGCGTTGCTGTTTCGTAGAAATTTTCAAAGCCTGCAGTCGCTTTTATCGGCGTCGTCTCAAATAAATTGAATTTCTCTTCATATTCCGCACAGCGACTGAAGGCAACCGCAACGACGCGAGAGCGACAGCTACTGGCAATAAAAAGACAACTGCACGCCAGCGACAGCAGCCAGCCAGCTCCGTCTTCATCGTTATGCTCAAAGCAGTCGTCGCCGGCAACATCTTCATCTCAGCAATATCTTTATCTACGCCAAAGCCATGTGAGACGCCGCAATCAGTGGCAACTGTAACGATACGAGTTGCAAGGATGATGTGCAACGCGCAATGAGTGGAAAATTTCACTGACGCGTGCCACAACTTTATTTATAAGCTATGACGCTTAAAAGCTTTGTGCTGCAGGCGTGCTAGAGTTTGATGCTTAGCTCATATTTATGCTTCAATATATCAGACAGGATGAGTTTAACGTGGACTTGGAAAGGTTAGTAGATGTATTTTGCCGAGGGTAAACATGGAAGTTTTGTCCCCGGGTGGCTCCGAGAAGTAGCAGAGGTAATACTAGTACAATAATTTGCTACTTTGCCCTCATTCAATTCACACCATTATTCCACCACCATTCAGTTAATTCAAAAAGTTTTGTACTCATATAGTTGTCTTCGGAAGATATCTTTCTAAGCAGTTAATCAACTGTTCAGTTCGACCTCTTTCCTTCATTCACTTTATTAAAACTTACAGCGAAGTGGCAACGAGCTGGATCTCCGTTGACCTCCTGCGAGCTAGCACTGAACTTATGGATATCGCGTGAACTTAGCAAGCGTTAGTCCACGATCAGCTCCTGTGCGACCGCAAGAAACTTCTGACCTAGAATAGGACGCAGGAGATCCACTACTTGCTCTCAGCAAGGTTAATATTACCGCAATCTCGTAGGAGTTCATTTCAACATTCTGAATGTACCGCCTTTGATAAATCAAATTTAAAATAAATAGGTTCAATAGGTTTAAGGCGCTTTGTCTGAACTTAATATACAAAAAACAACAGCTGTCCGGTTTTACAAAGGACGGTCTTAATCAGCCCAAGTGTGATCCACCCTCTTAGGACCAGCCATAGCACTCGACCTAACCCCATTTCCTGTTAGGACCCAAGCACTTTTTATTTATAAAATTTTTATATAATCCTTTCGAAAACGATCTTCTCAACTCATGAATAATAGAGAAAAGATTTCGAAACTGATACGTCATAAAGCAAAATTCAGAAACAAGTGTAATTTTTTGCAAAATTCACTTTTAAAAGTTATTGGTATATCTAACTTCATGCTTTCGCTTACCATAATCTAAATATGAAAAGCAAACGCATTTCAAAAGAAAAATTATGTCTTATAAGAACCATTCCAATAACCAGGTGAGAATCAAAGATTCTTGGAGCAATATGAACGAAATAGCAAGATTGATTCGCCTAAAAGTATGCATTAAAGCTGTTGCGACCAGTTTATTAGTGCTTAAATAGTTACTAGTTAAGAAGACAGACCTAACGAAGACACTGCCTACAGGGAGGAATGAAAAGGTACTTGCACACTTCATTCACGTTCACTCCTTCATCGCACTCATTTCTCCGAACGCCTTAAACTCCTCCTCCGCCTTGAAGTTGGCGTCAGCATTTGACATGATTAAACGTCGATTAAAACGACAGCGCACGAAAGCGTAGGCACAAATGCAGTCACACACCACACATACACCCACACAAATGTGAAAGGAAGTCTTCTCATATGCACACACCCTTAGTCGTATTAACACCACGGCAATACCAATTGTTGCACAGCATGTAAGCCAGCGCGTCTAAACATTTCAACCTTTCAGCGTTCAATTTTGCCGTCGTCGTCATCGCCGCCGTCCTCGCTGCTAGGAAATATGCTGTGCGCCACAATGGAGACGCTGCTCGCATGCATGAATCACGTTGCATGTTGCACGCTGAATGCCCGCAGTCATTCTTAAGTCGCTTGTCATCAATAACAAATGTTGCAATGTCGATATTAGCAGTAATCGCTGTCGCAACCAGTGAAGTGTTAGAGTGCAGCAGCTGTTGCTCATGCCGCTGTTGCTATTGTTGTTGTTGCCAAGCAACTGGCAACCTGCTGCGCTGCCATTGGCAAGCGCTTGACTGGTTTCGGTAGTAAGCAACGTGCTTTTATGCTAACGTACGACTTCATGTGCGCGTCCTCCCACTTGTTGTTGGCACATTCCTTGCTCGGGTATTTGAGTTGTGGAAGTAATTTTGAGTTTGTTTTTACAGTAGTTAACTAAAATGGCAGTAATTGCGGGTAGACATGAAAACGACAGAAGTGCATACATATATATTATATTAGAGACGGATAGGAAGATTTATATTATATATATTATCGGTCCGAAATACAAATGCAACTACGCTCGTTTTCATCAACTTAACATTCACGTAACTGGAAGATTGAATTTGAGGACTTCATCATATACCCTATGCGAAACAGTCGCATTATTTTCAATATTTCAAGGCTTAACACAAATTTTATTAATTAAGAAGTGGACCCATTTACATATTTAAGAAATACTATACAAGTATACTGCATATATAATATATAAATCCGTTGAAAGGATAATGACCAAACAAATCACAGCTTTCACAGTTCTTAAGACTATGGGGTCCATAATAGTCGCACAAGTGGATTTTCGGATAGTTTTTTCACCAACAAATAACGCTTTCTGCAACAGTATAACTCAAAAGTATTACATACTTATATGATAACGGTTTTTTGACAACAACACCAATGCTTCCTAAATTCATATTGTTACCACTAACATTTCATTATGTATTGACATGGAGACCTGTGATTAATGTCAGTGGGAAATTTAGCGGTCCTCTAGATCCGTCCTCTCTTACAAATATCTCTCTTACTATTTCAATTATCATCTCAAGAAAATATTATTTGGCAGCAGTTATGGAAAAAAATGGCAAAAAATATTATTTTTTGCGACCAAGGCACCCCCATTTTAATAATTATGTTGAAGTTGACGAACTTTTCCCGAAAATGTTAAAATTTTTACCCAAGGAATCAGTAAGATAGTCAATCTTTCGTACTTGCCAAAAAAAAACAAAAAAAAAAACAATTTTCTGAGACTAATTTGGAGTACACGAAATTATATAGCTACCGTAACTTAATTTAGAATTCTAAGACAGAGAAATCCGATCATAAGTATGGATGGATTGGATTGGCTTTCTTCTTTATGGAAATAAATAAGTCTCTCAACAAAACTCTAAAAAGGCTAAAAAACATGTTGAGAAATATATACTTTTCTATCCCTCTTAAAATGTTTCTCAACATGTTACCTCGATCTCTTTCGAGCAATGCCAAAAGTAGAGTAGGACAGAGCTAAGGAAAACTCTAGGCGCGGGTCTTATACCGGACTTCTCTACTGAGATACAATATATCACTCTAAACAAAACCTAGATGCAAGAGGAGACTATCTTTAAGTATTTTTGCAGTCTAAGAGGTAGGTAGGGGAGGATGTCTGATTACGCACCTAGGTCTTTAAGAGAGTCCCTTTGTGAAACCAACGGGACTGCAATGACCTCACTTTATTATGTCTTCTGTGAACTACTGTGTACCTCTAATTAAATTCATCAATACAAAAAGTGTTTGTGCAATTTCCGAGATATCGTCAAGATACCCTCGACCGATAATTTCGATTATTTCCTTAAATATCTATAAGTAGCCAGAGGTATATAAATTTTTTCTTCTCCGGTGTCTATTTGTAGGGTGGTGCCTGCTCTGGGTAGTTCATCTGCTTCACTGTTACCAGTAATATCACTGTATTCTGGAATCCATAGCAGGCATCCTTTCACTAGCTTCGACAACAAGAAGACTTACTTTAATTGCTGCGATCTTCGTTGGAAAACACTGTAGTAATCGGAAGGCGATTCTGGTACTTAATTTTGATGAAAAGACATCACCTTCGACTCGAATATCTAGTTTGGAAATCTTAGTATCGATATTTATTTCTGTGTCCCTGTCCACCTCACTCCTATCGCTCTTTGGAAGTGAAGGCAATATTGGAGACCGAATTTAAGTTTAAACACAGACTAACTTGAGCTAATACTAAATGTTATTCTATAATATGAATATCTATCCATCCAAAGGCAAAATATTAACGGTAATTTTTACGTGACGTTCCCCTAAACAAGTTGAAAATCATTTTTAGTTAACACACCACTACTACCACTACTTGAAACAGCTACATTAGATTTTCAGTCACACACACATGCATGTATGCATGAATAGATTGACAAACAAGCCCATTAATTTGTCCATCAGCGAAAATCACGCGTGTGCAACCACAACGAGCATAACCTCGCAAATATTTACACACACGTACAAACACACACACAGATGGAGGTAAACACTTGATTTTGCTATCAAATAAGCCATGACCAATATTGAACTGTCAGTTGGCGATGACAATGACGTCAGACCCTCTGAACTGGCCGAAGTCAACCAGCTGGTGCAATTAATCATCGGTTGCACCCAAAATATGTTAATGCATTGCTATGAAATTTGCTGTAAACAGCAACAGCGTACCAAACGGCAAACAAAGTTACAACAACAACAAACACTGTTTATCCTTTCATATGTGGCCGACCGCTGCGGGGCGAGGGCAAAAAGTAGTGCAACGCTGTGGTCAAACTATTACCGGTGAACTAACAACTATTCTAAACTTGTCTACACTCACAAGCATGTAAGTATATATATACATATATATATGAGTGTATGTGTGTGTTAGTGTGTTCGGAAACATAAATCACAGCTAAAGCTTACCTTTCGCTCCTGTTCGTCCTTGGACAGCTGACCGCCGCCAACATTGTTATTCTCTCCCTCGCCGTCGAGTGGCGTTGGCGTTGTTGGTATATCACACTCCTCCGTCGGTGGTACGACGCAACGCAGCGAATGCCGATCGAATACCAACATAGCGGGACAACGTTGCAAGCGCGGATAACCGCCCTGGCATTGCCAATAACGGTTGCAGGATTTACCCAATGGGACATTACCATTGGCATCGTCATTGCAGAGAGCTATGGGAAGGTAAAAACAAATAGAGTAAACAAAAACAAATATTAGACAACAAGTACAACACGTTAGTGGTATTCAATAGAAATTATGGTAAAGAAGGGGCTTAATCGAACAGTAAAATTTCGGTCAAAAATTCAAGAACCGGAAATGAATACCTAAGTATATTGAAGACGTAGAAAATTTTTTTAATTTTAGAATCAAACTAAATTAGGCTGCACGAAAAATAAATTACTAAGAAACTTATGTATATCACATTCTTACGGATATTTAAAATTATTGGGTATGTCGGGAAATATGACATTCGGTACATTAGGTCCAGACGGAAGCATAGCAATAATTTTATAACTTTACTCATCAATACATATACAAGATACCATACATATATATACATATATGGTGCGTATTAAAATCAACCAAAGCCACGGGAGTCAATATAGTAAATATATGGACCGATTTTATCGATTTTTAATACCAAACCTTATGATACTAAATAATTACTCCTAACCAATTTTATCATAATGTCGACCGATATATTATTGGTTGGTTGGTTGGTTAATGGTTTACGGACATCTGGAAGAGGTGGCTAAGTTACGTTAGGTTAAAAGGTCGATCCTGTGACATAAGTCAACAAAGATCTCATTCGAAGAGCCTAGCACACCGGTCCGTTGTGATACCTAAAACTCCTGTGCATTGATCATAAAGACCCTTCAAAATCGACAAAGCTATTTAAGTCAGTCACAAATTTGTTGAGGCAGCCGATATCAATTTCGGCTACTTCATCACGGTCGCATAAAATATGACTGTCGGATGTTTCAGCGTCAGTCTTGTAAAAGCTGGATAATGAAGAAAATAGTTCCTCGGTATTCATCCATGTTCATTCCTTCATACATATCAACTTACTTCATACACCTTTGACAACTTGAGTTTGACAAGATTTTTATCCTTACCACATTAAACTCTCTTGGAGTAAGTTCAATAAGAATTGCTACGATTGCGGTCAATAGACCTCCTACTTTCTCCTCTAAGCCAGCAGAATCTTGCAGTTACACAGCATCTGGTCGTTGACCTACACACTTGTAGGTCCAGCGTTAGAAAGCAGGAGGACAATGAGGACTCAACTCATTCCCAATCCGTGTGTTGATCTTTTTATTCAGTATATGGGACTGTAAAGTAAATATCGGGCGAATTTGTTCAGTGAACCCCTCTAGTCTATTTTAAGCCAGATCTTGCAGTCTTGCAAGGGATGGTCGTTAGCTATGAGTTGAGATAACTCCAGTTGTTTTTGAGATATATTGAGCCTATGATAATGGGTTCAAGTCTACTTCTTCGATTTTTTAATTTTTTAGCCTAGTAAAAGTTCAAGATATGCAAATTTCTAAATTTTACTTTGACTGCTAAAACAGAGAGTTATCAAACACTACCGATGAATTAAAATATTCTTAACACATTTTTAATTATCGTAAATTAAGCTACGGGGTATCTTTAGCGCCTATGCAATTAAATGGTTTTTCAGTAGTGCTGGATTACATGAGTCTTCTTCTCAAAAGCCACATCAAGGTACGCAAATGAAATACCAAAACTACCAAGAACAATGGTGACTACCCTGAGTAACATTTATTTATCACCTACTTGTTGCTATTGTTGTCTAACTTTAACAAGGTACGCACGAAGCGTTCAAAATGCATTTCAACGCAATTCAACGCCTCGATTGCATCACAACAACAATCGCAACAACACAAGCTTCAACTAACTGCACAAACTTAATAAGCTTTTGAAGACACGAGCCATAAAGCCCACCGGAACGCCAGCAAATCTCACCTAACAAACACATGTAAGTGCTAGTCTACTGCCATACCACCACTGAGTCTTCACTTCACTTCAATACCCATAGGTACATACAAATATATAAATATATATATAGTCGCACTTACGATGCTTCTGACAGCCATCTACATTTTCCGGCCAATCGCAGCTGTGGGCATTCTCATTGTACAGCAGACCGCCGATGCAAAGCTGCTCCGTGGCGGTACCATTCCAGCAGGTCCAATAGCGTGTGCAGGAGGTCTCATGCCCGAAGATGCCGTACAACCAGTCGCAATGTTCCGTCGATAGGGGACCATCTGAAAGCACAAAGCAAAGTAGTTGAGTAAAAAAATTGGAAAGCTATCAATGTACATAAATATGTGTGTATATGTGTTCGGTTGTAAGCAATAAAGTGCGCGTAACTCCTGACGTTTATAGAAACCAAGGCACCAGCCGAGCCTAAAGCCCAACAAGACGACAAGACGTACTGGATTCAATGTTACGGTGTAAAGCAGCACCAACACTTTGACAGCTAGCCAGCATACCAGCTCATCAGCTCCCCTGCTCATCAGCTCCCCAGCTTACCTGCTCACTAGCTCTCTAGCTTGCTAGATTGCCAGCGTGTCACCATATAAGCTTGTTTCGGCTCTCGTTAATGAATTGGCTGCCGGTAATGCGATGCTCTGAGCCGCTGCCGGCACAGTCGAAGACGCAGCCACACAATCCATTTAAATTGTTGCTTGCTACACTCCGGCACACTCCGATTCCCTTTCTCACAAATTTTCGCATAGCAATGTTAGATTTAATACTCGGTGTCTTGGTGAGGTGTTCGACAATCATAAATTGGCTTCTGTTGTTCTACTCGGTATTTTCAGTATTTTCGGCATGTTTGCGCTTGTTGTTGTTTTTGTTGCGCCACACTCTTTGTGCCATAAACTCTTTGTGTTGCTATGAGAAAAAGTAGGCCCGTAAGTGTTTCTGTGCGCTTGGCCGGATTAGCCGCAAAGTTCTGGAGTATTTGCATGCTTATGTGCAGATCTTGGCACAAAAGTACGCTTGAACTGGGTAAACAAATTGAAAGTTGAGTACGCAAATCGATGTGGTAAGCTGATTGTTTTTAGCTGCTATGGCGACTTTGAACATGTAATTTGTAATGTATGGTTTTGGGGTTAGGGAAGGTGCAACATTTTTTGGTTAGGATATTGCTAGATTCTCGGAAGTTAAATTGGACTTTAATGATCAATTTCTTAGGCAAAATGAAACTGGTAACATGTCGCAGTAATAAAGTCAAACAATGTGGATACTTCGTTCAGAATTTAACCATGTAACGACCTGTATTACAGTGAGACTTGTGAGATTGTAAAAAGCTGTACTCATGTCAATCGCCCACTGCGCTTGAAAATTCGTGGAAAATTATATTGTTGACAGTTACCATTTTTTATGAGTATTCCTAACAGATTTTGTTTAGATTTTCGGGTCTAAAGTATAAAAAGAACCGTTATTTCAGATATGTGTATGTAAGTCATTACTCGAGTAATATTTTTACCGCCTTGGATTCCGAAACTGAAACGGTGTCGTTTTTGAGGAAAAAGAACTTGCAGTTCAACGTATAATTGAGGGGACTTTAAATCTTTCGAATTTATTGTAGTTACTCCTTCAAGGCATGTGACTACAACTTACGTAGCCGGGTTAGATTTACTAATATTCAGCACTGGTTAAAGATTGGTTCTTAAGAGCTTGAATAGTAATCAGCAATAGTCCGGCTGCTAGTGGACCAATAGTAGGAAGAGTAATTTCATCGGTCTAAGGAGTGCTGAAATAGATTTTCCGGCAATCCCTTACTAAGCTTCACAAGCATCGAAAATAAGTAGACAACGCATCAGAAAATTGCTACCAACGACTCCTGAAAAACAGTTTTAATAACTTATGGTAGTGAAGTTCAATGAATTAGCGCAGTCTTTCTTCGCAGTATGTCGACACACTTTTAAAAAAGGACACCGAAATGAAGAAAAGTCGAAAACGGAACGCTACTAGCTACAAATATGTGGACTTTACAACCGAAGCTCATTTTGGGAAGACGAAAAAGTTCAGACAATATATATATACTTGTCCTCTCCAGAAGTAAACTACGGCAGCTTGTAACATTGAATACTTGCCACCATAGATTACAGTGTCCCCTGCAAAAAACAGGTTCTGATCGACTGAATATTGTCGGTCCCGCGATCTCCTAAGCGAGATACCGGAGATTCCAATACACAAGATGGAAATCTGCTGGACGGAATATTGTCAAGTCTGCTACTGCGCAGCCGAGATATCGGAGTGCTTGGAAGAGAGAGCCAACTCATCGGCACAATGTATCACAAAAGATATATCTATTCTTCATTAACGATTTCAGACTTTGCTTGTATAAGCCGACATGAGAGAGGAGAGAGCACAAAGAACCGAAGCTTACTGTGCATACTCCAAATTTTATGTATCATCTAACTAACTGAAATGGATGATTTTCAATTTCTATACTTTAAAGTAGATTACCATTGTTAACTGAGATTGTTCAGTTCTACTTCGGGCGAATATACTTTTAAGATATCGCGGCATTTGTGAGGTCCACTTAATTGTGGTATTACCTTGCCAGTAAAGCAACTATAATATGAGCTATATCTCTTGCATCTCCAAAAAAGAAAATTGGGTCAGAGATACAGTAGTTGCTTCAACCTCGATCCAACACATTAAAACACTATAACGACCATAACCTAACCTCAAATCTTCACTAAATTCGCACCAAAAAGTAAACAGAAACTAAACTCCAGCGGCAACACCTATTTCGCCACATTTCAATTATCCGATGTCTCCGTGTGTGCATTAACAGTGTTCGGGTGGACAAATAATAACTGTAATAGCTGTTCGTGTTTGCATAAATGTACCGTTAGCATAGACAACAAAAAGTAACAAAGACTAGCTGGCGGCACAGTAACAGTAGAGCTTAACTTGCGTGTTTGCCGAAGCTTTGTTGCCACACACACGAGCACGAACACTCGCCGCCGCAATTAGTCCAACTACACCACAATAAAATTCTAATATGCAAACTAAAACTGTACGAAATTGTCGCTGCGGTTTGGCGAGTAAAAACTTTTCGTGCCACATAGTACATTGAGGCAATGTGAGCGCGCGTCGCCACAAAGCGTGCCACAACGGTGCACAAATACGCATACGTCTCTCAGCGCCATTCACCGTAAGTCGCTACTAAATGGCGGCACACATGCAAACACTCGCATATGTGTGCAACAACAGTGAAGCCATTAAAGTGGAATCCACACCGGAAAAACGCACACAGCCGTACGGCGACCACAAGCAATAGCTGCCACGTAACACGCACACGTACACATGCGCTTGTTTTTCTCGCAAATAAATATATATGTGGTGTGTGTGTGTGTGTACATCGATATTGGCACGCATCGATTGCATTGCCATGTCACATTTGGCCAATTGTGGTAAGTTGCATGTTGCAACACAGCGCATAACGTGCAACGACAATGCAGCAAAAACTTTTAATAAGCAGCATACTCGCCGGTGCAACGATATACTGCCGGTATGTGTGTGCGTGTCATAAAAGCAAACAGCATACCACACAATGACGCGTGCTGCAAGCGAATGCAATGGCTCCATATGTTGCACGACTTTTTCCAGCTCAACTTGTTTGCATCTACAGTTGCATTTGTGTGCGTGTGGCAACCGCAACAGCGTCAACAGTAAACATAAAATTTCAACAAACCACACCGAACGACACACGCCCAGGCACGAAGTCCCCATTTAGACGGCATAAAGCTGCATGCACCTTAAATTCAATTTACCCCTCACGAACACCTGTACTCACCTCTCCCCCCCCCCCCCCCCCTTCCCAAAATGCACAGTATACTCACTCGCTAATTGCTTGCCCTCGCAATAGTTGGCGCGCCACGGATAATCACAGCCTTCTGTAACGCCACGGTGCTTCCCGGCAAAGACCAGTCCATTGGGGCAATCGTAAAGCTCGGGCTGACTGCTGACACACTCCCAATAACGGTCACAATAGACTTCATCGCCAACCACACGTCCTTTCACCTTGCACGGATCCTCTTGGTTGCCCTTCAGCTGTTGTCCGGCCGCCACGTTCACTGCAAAATAGAGAACAAAACAAAGAAGAAGAGAGATGTTAAGCTAATTGTTACTGTTGCGAGTAGGATGGTGAAAGAGAGAGAGAGAGAGAGAGAAAGAGAGATAGAATCTAGAGAGTTGTTGGTATTGTGCAAATATTGTGTGCATCCAAATTTTCGGTTGCATTGTTTGGTGTGCAGGAAGTTGCCACAATTTTTTTATTTTTTTTATTGTTTTTTTTTTTTTTGCAAATATTCACAGTTAGGTATGCACCTCAGGTGCTGTTTTTAGTTTCGTGGTCTCAGTCAATATTCTGCCGGAATATTTGCGAACATTTCTCATGTTTGCATTTGTCATTCGGCAAAAATATCACAAAATTTATTGTCTTAGAATTCCGCAAATGCCAACACGGAAATGTATTGTTGACTACAGGTAGCTGATTAGCTAATTGGGTCAATAATTTTTCGAATATGTGCATAGAATATACAAAAAATTCGAAACCTTTTATTTCTTGTTTTTATACCCCGAAGTAGTATATTAGTTAGTATAGTTTGCCACGACGTTTGTAATAACGAAACGGAAACGTATGAAAACACCATTAAATATATATATAAATTTTCAGCATAACGAGCTTTGACGATTTAGCCATGACCGTCTGTCTATCTTTTTATACCTGAACTAGTTCCTCAGTTTTTGAGAAATCGGATAACTATACCATACAGGTACCATACACACTGAACGATCAAAATCAAGTATTAGACGAAATATCTTCAAAAAAATTGGCACGGCTAATGTTTGAGATATTGATATAATCTCCGAAGAAATTGTTCAGATCGGATGTCTGTACCATTTCGCTGCCATAAAAACTGAACGTCAAAAGAATCTTTTGTATTTAGAAAGACTATTAATGGTTCAGTGTAACCGAGATTAACGTTTTTTCTTGTTTTTTTTATTTTCTGCTTTTATTAAACTTTTTGCATTTCTATTAAAGATAATATATTGGGTAGTGCTATTTTTAACAGATTTTCCAAATACTACTTTGTCTTGCCAGAAATTCTGTTACAAAGTTAATAATGCATACAGCGAGAAAGAATTCGCAGAAAAGAGTGCCGTTAGTTTTTACAGAAATTTCTGTCATGGGAAATAGATATATCGACCAGACCAATATCAAAGCCTATCGCCGGTCAACTGGTCATCTACCGACAACGCGTTTGAAACAAATCAGCGACATGCGATCAATGGAAAGTATAATTTTTATAGATGAAAAATTGTTCACTGTTGAAGAAGATTTTAAAAAGCAAAATGACAAAATCAACGCAAAAACTTCCAAAGACACAAAACATGTTATTCCAAGTGATCAACGTGGTCACAATCCTGTAAAGTCGTTACACCTCTTCGCTGCTGTGAAAAAAGTGGTTAAAACTGAAACAAAAATGTACTAGCAGTATGTTTCAGAAGGCATGGTAAAGTAGTTCAGCAATGCTGTTTTCTATGGAGGACAATGGATCTTCCAGCAAGATTCAGTTCCATCACATAAAGGAAAAACACCTCGCAGTTGGTCGTCTGCAAGTACAGATTTGAATCCATTGGATTACACTATGTGGGCAGATATGGAGAACATAGCCTGTGAAATTACCTGCAGAAATTTGGAGAGTCTCAAAAAATATTTTGTTCAAACCGCGTAGTCAATACCTAATAATAATAAATATAATCAATATCTTGCTGTTTGTCAATGGCCAAATCCCACATAATATTAATTTTACAAGAAAAAACAACAAACACCTTGAAAGAATACTATTAGCGTATTACATGACATTTGGTGTCCATTTAATCAGCTTATTAGTTACTGATTTGTACAACAGACAAACTATTCTTGTATGAGTATGAGTTGTATTGTACGTTTTAGAGTTTCCTTAAACAATTTACGCAAAAATTTTTAAAATTTATAAATAAGTTTTTTCAGTATTTTTCTACTTTTTCTATTTTTTAGTCATTATTTTATTCGCTAAAACCTAAACTTTAGAGTTATTTATATTATATCGATTTTCTTAATGGTAGCAAATCTAGAAAATAAAGTGGTATTAAAATTGTTGTGTTTCACTAAAGATCTTTCTAACTTAATGACAATTTAATTTGATAGATAGTTGTAAATTTCTGAATTAAATGGCAACACTTAGTCATATAAGTTCGTATGAAGTATTTTTGTAAAATTTTCCAACCAAAAAGTTCGAATCCTTTGAAGTTTGAAGTTTCTCAGAAAATTCATCGGCCGTTCTGAAGCGACTGAACAATTGTCTAATAATAGCGGCTAATTTATTGAGTACTGAAAGGTATCACTCACTTATGTCGTTATCGTCGGTATTATAAATGAGTGGTTTCTTCATTATTCAACTAAATTTTGCTCTGAAAATTGTATTTCTTGAGTAAAAATTTAATTCAAATACTACTTAAATCGGAAGTTACATCTAGGGTATGTTCGAGTCTCAATCCCTGTAGCAGTATAGCAAGGCATCATATTCGACGCAAAAATGTTGCAGTATGTGGTAAGTCTCAGCTGAGTATGTGCAAAAAACAACAGTGTCGCACTATTGGTGCAATTATTTGCTTGCTCGAACATCCCCATAGCTTGTGGAAAGAATTCGAGCACATTGCCACCTGCTGAGGAAATTTTTTTAACGAATTTTTTTTATGCTATAGAATTATGATCCATTAGATGTTTCGCATCAAACGTTACTGTCTACTTTTATATACAAATTATGCTCATTGATGTACTAATATATAGTTCTACAGCTAGCTACCCTTAAATTATGCAAATTATTTAATTATTTCACCACTTAAGAATGCTATGATCATTAATTTGTAACCTGTAAATTATTCTCAGTTTCTAAAATGTATATAATTTTTATTACTCACATATCATACAAAATTACTGTAGAAAAACAAAAACTCGCTAAAATGTTTGTGTCTGGCATTATTAGCAAGCGTGTAAGTTCTAATCATAAAATGCTAAATTACACTGTAGAACATAAATTTTCACACGCCTACTTTGTTGGCTAACAATTTCCACATTAAAGTAATTACCTTTGCCTCACCTGAAATGTGTGAGAGACAACGAGACCGCATTAATAAAGCAAAGTGGGCACAAGCGCAACATCATAACGTTTCAAATGTCATACACATAAATATATACCTATATATTAAACATATATGTGTGTTAGTGTCTGTGTAAATGGCCGCTGTCGTGCCACACGCAAGCCGCCGAACCGTAATCGAGCTGGTCACTCTTTACAGTTAGATAGTTGAATGGAATGGCGGCGAAATGACATTGAATTAAGGTAGTAAACCAGTGGTAGTTGTTGTTGTTGCTCTTGCTGTTTCAGTGAAGTAAAACTTAAATGTCAGCAATAAAAGTTTTATCACCAGAGTTCTTTAAATATTTACGGCACTGCAGGAGCACTAAACAAAGCGCAGAATAATTCATTGGTGGGCATGTGTGGGTGTGTAGTAAGTAATCATATATGTTTCTAACTATATATGAATATAAGTAAGTCGTACTCGCCGCTGTGGGTGCAATAAAAGCAAAGCGATGTCAAAGGCGGCTTTTGCTAAACTTTTATTAGCTTGAGATTGGCTTGCGCGCCAAGCAACTAACTGCCAGTATTTTATGCTTTTATAGTGTTGTGATCTAGACGTGGTCATAATCATGATTATGCCGGGTCACATCAGTGATACACGTGATTTACAATATTTATTGTTGTTTCTCTCTTTGGTTTAGTTGATCGCAATAAAACTTTAGTAAAGCTCAGCAAGTGTCGTAATGCGGAAGGTAAGCTACCAAAGCCGCTTAAAGGAGAATAATTCAGCAAATAAATAAACTAGAGAAATAGTGGTGATACGCAAGGGGATAGAGATGTAGTGGAAGTGAGTATTTACAAGGAAAGGAGACTTTCAAGCAATGGGTGGCAATTTCGGTTAAAAATAGCGATTTATGTTTGCCTGCTCTGTTGGAAATTGAAGCAAATCGATGCAGGTTTTTTTAAAATGCAAAAAAAAAAGTTATAATAAAGGTTATATAATTTTAAACTTTTTTTTGAAGAAAACGTAACTTTCCAAAGGTTCGAAAGCAAAAAAAGTGTATATACTCTCATCATTATTTGCCAAAAACACAACAGTCCGTATGAATTCGACATAGATAGCGCTCTAATATACTACCATATTCTAAATTACGAGCACTTAGACCCTTAGTTTCTTTCTAAAGATCCACAATCTTCAAGATTTTCTCCGATTTATCTAGATATATTAAATACCTGAAATGAAGTTACTAAGCTCAATAGTTTTCTCAGGTTACGTATACGCCATGTGTCATATGCATTTAATTACGTTTAACCACGGAATTTTACCCTGATTTTTTTCAATTATTTATCTTTTTAATGCAAATCGTCTCTATATATTAAATTTTAGGTCTCGGTAAGCACTTTTTGTCAGGAAGTTCTTATTTTCAGGGTATTAACCTATAGCTCGCTGTTCGAAACAGATAACATACCCAAAACATTAACCACAAAGGCATGGCTTATTAATTATATCTCACTCCAATACTAAAAAACAATTATGGTGAATAATTTCATTAAATTTGTTGTGAAATCATATAATCTTAAAAAAGAATTCTGTTTAAAGCTCTGAAAGTAAAATTTTGGTTTAAAATTTGCTCCTTAAAGGAGGAAAGCTTTACATAAAACTCCTTGACAATTTTTACAATTTTTTCTCATTAGCCATTTAAAGTACCTTAAGTGCATTTGCCTGCTTTTCCACAATTTTTAATATTCTTCATTATTTTATAGTCACCCAGAGCATTATCAATTCATTTAACACGGTTTACCAAAAATTTTATTTCCTTTAAACAGTAGCGTCACATTCCTACAGGGTCATTTCACCTGCTCTATGCACCTTCATAAATTCGCATTGCAAAACCTCAAACGAATACGCATGGACACGCATATACATACGAAAAATTAGTTTGCTC